CTTAGACACCTGCTTTCTGGAAAAGCCTTAGGGTGACGTCACGTCTCTCGAGGTGTCCACACACAAGGCTGACACTCTCTCTCCAGTTCTTCTCACCGATATGAAAGAGCTCGGTATGATCTACACAAAAGAAGAGAGCTCGAGGATGAGATGAGATCCTAAACTCTCAGGGTACTCATATGGGGGGGGGGGGGGGTTCCGAACTTCGTGGTGCCAATTTTGGGGTCCTTCTTATAAGGGAACCAGGCTATTTGGGGACCTTTATGAGGGGTCCCTTATGTTCTTAAACCCCCACATCACATGGGCTCTTAAGTTCATCCCTGACCCTGGAAAGGGTTCTGAAGTGTGGGGCCTTAGTTTGTATGGGGTATATAAGAGGTACTTAAGGGGTACCCTTTAAGGGCCCATACGAAGGGACATGCAACTACCCTAAGACTAAATAAGCCCTAAACCCTAAATCCGAAACCCGAAACCCTATAAGCCCTAAACCCTAAACCCTAGACCCTAAACCCGTAAGCCCTAAGCCCTCACTGTACACATGCAGGTACGCTTATGACAACGTCATTTCCAGCTTGGCCGGGATAGAGCATCTCAGGACAGGTTCAGGGCGAACCCTAAACTCCAAAACCCTAAGCCCCAATCCCTAAACCCCAAACCCTAAACCCTAAACCCTAAACCCCAAACCCCAACCCCTGAGGGCCCCAGAAACTTTGGTGTCCAGACCCTCAAGTTGAATGCGGAAGCCATTTACTCTCGGAGAGGTGAGGCTTCAGGGGGTGGGGGGTGGGGGCGCCTGAACCCCACTTTCGGGTTCATTGGTAGTTACAGAGTTTAGGGTCTAGGGTTTCGGGTTTAGGGTTCAGGGTGGTTTAGTGTGCAGAGTCAGCACCCGGAAGAAGCTTAATATCATCCTACGTATGTGAACCTCCAAGTAAACTGCCGAACCCCCTCAAGCAATCGAAGAGTCGCACCCCGAAGCCGGGTTTCCGAACAATGGGGTACCGTTTGTTGGGGGGAAGAAGAGGAATTACCTGATGTTGGGAAATTCCCATGTCAGCATCATGCAACATCCGACACACCTTTGGGAGACCGCCTAGTCGTGCCACCGAAAGACCCCGCCTAACACCCTAAACGCATAACACCCTAAGCCCTTACACCCTCTACCCTTGTAACTCCTAAGCCCCCAAACGCTCTGAACCCCAGTCTTGTTCCAGGCGGCTGCAGCAGCTGTACCTGCAGAACAACCGCATTGCCAGCATGACTGGCCTGGAGGCTTGCGCTGGCTGTCCCACCAGCAGGTCTCATAGGGTTTAGGGTTCAGGGTTCAAGGTTTCGGGTTTAGGGTGAGGGTTCAGGGTTTAGGGTTTAGGTTTTGGGGTTTAGGATACTCTTCTTGTTTTTTTTTGGTTTTCGGGTTATGGTTTAGTGCTTTGGGGTTTAGGGGAAGTAAGGCTCGGGGAGGGGGGTTGGGGGATTGGGGTCGATGATGAAGGGCGCCATGTAACTCAGCAAAGGAAGGGTCTGGGAAGGGGACCCTCATAGGGTTTGGGGGTTCAGGTTTCAGGCTTTAAGTTTTAGCCCTAAACCCTAAACCCTAAACCCTAAACCCTAAACCCTAAACACGTTTAGGGGGTGGGTTTGTTGCCCTAAACGGGATGCTGTCAACCCAGCAGCCACCCAACGAAGGACCCATGCAATCGTCGGGTTGGGAACTTAGGGCTTCCGAGCATAAGGGCTCTGAGGATCTTCAGGCCCAGGGTTTAGGGTTTAGGGTTTAGGGTTTCGGGTTTAGGGTTTAGGGTTTAGGGTTTAGGGTTTAGGTTTGAGGGTTTAGGGCTTAGGGTTAAGGATGATGAAATATGGAGCAGAGACGATCTGCGTGCATGACCATGGAGCTGGTTGCATGCACAGCATAGTGGCTGGGCGCGAATCTTACTGTTAATCCAGGAGCACGTACTGATTACTGTAAGGTTTTGTCTTACTGCTACGAAGCTGCTGCACTGCCAGAGTGCCTGAAGGATGCGCATGTAGCCGTCTGAGTGTTCCTCAGTAGTACCTTAAACCCTAACCCTTAAACCCTGAACCCTAAATCCTAAACCCTAACGTCTTCCACTCACCTCAGCTTCTGCTCGCACGCAAGGGATCATGATGTGCCGAGCTGCATGCAGCTTCCTTCCGCAACATCTTTCAAACAGCTGTAGCTCGACAGCTTATAAGAGCTGTTCAAGTAGGAAACAAGGCCGCCGCCGAAGTGAGGCGCGGCTTCATGCGTTTAGGGCTTAGGGTTTAGGGTTTAGGGTTTAGGGTTTAAGGTTTAGGGTTTAGGGTTTAGGGTTTAGGGTTACTTTGGGGTTGGAATCTCATAGAACCTGCTCTGGTTTTGCCATTCAGGTTTGCAGGCCCCTTGAAAGCCCCGAAACCTAAACCCTCTACCCCTGCAACTCATGAATCATAAATCCCCAAACCCCCTAACGGAAACCCGAAACCCGAAACCCTAAACCCTAAACCCCAAAAGAGCCCTTAGCCAACGGCACAGGGGAGTTGATGTACATCAGGCACCTCTGTCGGGCATCTTGCGCCCACACACAGCCTCTATGAATCCACCGTGTGTAGGGCTTGGGGCATGGTAGGGTTTAGGGTTTAGGGTTTAGGGTTTAGGGTTTAGGGTTTAGGGTTTAGGGTTTAGGGTTTAGGGTTTAGGGTTTAGGGTTTAGGGTTTAGGGTTTAAGTTTTAGGGTTGTGGGGGTGCCTCTCTGGCTTCGGCTAGCCAAGTTAAGCTGGCTCCTTGACAAGGAACTTAAGTCCAGTGTCCCCAGTCAGTGCAAGTTCTCAACAGGAACCGCGGGAATGGGTTGAACCTGTTGGGGGCGTAAGGTTTTCGGTGGTACGACCCAGAAGGGCACCTCCCCTGCGTGAGTGGTTTTTTTTTTTTTTTTTGGGGGGGGGGGGGGGGGAGTAGGGCTCAAGTTTAAGGAGGGTTTAGGGATCTTGGAGGTGCCGACAACAAGGAACTACCATTGGGCTGTCTGGGTGTTGCCTACCTCTAATGCCTCAAACGTGTTCAGGATTTGGGTGGTTGTCAAAATGATGATCCTTTTTGGGGCACCCCATATATCAGGTGCCGTATGATAATAGGGATCCAAAAAGGGACCATCATTTTGACGACCACCCATTTATGGTTTAGGTTTAGTGTCTTGTGACGCTGCGACCTCCGGCTTTTTTGGTCAAGGTTTTGGGCCTCA